AATAACGGGGCTGCCGACAAAGGGCTTTGATGTCGGCAGGGGAGCGTCCAGACTAGCACGCTGAGCGGACAAACAGCTGATCAGCTGTTTGTCGGCTCAGCGCGGCAGCCATGTAAATTTAAATGAAGCCGCGATCATTTAAATCGCCGCTTCATTTGCCTTTGCCTATGTGTCTAATCTACATGCCTCTGACGACAGAGGCATGTAGTCTAGACACAGCCTCAGGGTCCGGCTGCTCTCACACATCCTGTCCCCGGGGAGAAGGAGGGCAGCCAGTTGGAAGCAGGGTAGCCACAAGAGCGGTGGCATGACCCCACACAGCACCTCTTGTGTGTTCTCCACAGCCGACAAGCTTGGACAGAGGGCTGAGCCACAGCACCTCAGCCACCTACCCTCATCCAGGGGACCCACAGATGAGCCAGAGTGCAGGAAGATCTGATGTAGCAATGCATTGGCATCCTCTGGGACATCCAGCAGAACCTGGAGTTCAGGGTTGATTCAGATTTGGAATGGCGGATGCATGCCTGGGGGGAAAATGCTGGCACAGTGACACACCATGTGCAGCATCATGTCCCGCATGGTGGCACACCCCTCACTGCTGCTGTTTCTGGGTTCCATCCTACTGCCCCCCCATGTCCATTGCCCATTTGCCAGCCCCCACTCTCATGCCACTGCTCCCTCCCAAGTCATGCCTATGGCCCCTCCTTCTGTCCTCTGCAAACCCTGACTCTCCTCTAGCCCCCTCCTCTTGCCCACTCCTTTGTGGCCCCCAGACCCACAGAACCCAGATGAGACCCCCTGTACCTGAGGTGGGATTTAGAGCCACCCCACTCCCCCTCTCAGTCCTGATCCCCTCTCCCGGTTCAGAGTTCCCCCCTCCCCTGCCCACCTTCTCTTTATTTAAAAAAAAAAGGCTATGTCTACACTACAAAGTTAATTCGAACTAACAGACATTAGTTCAAATTAACTTTGATAGGTGCTACACATACAAACCGCTAGTTCGAACTTAATTCTACGAGGACTAACGCCTAGTTTGAATTAAGTAGTTCGAATTAAGGGGTGTGTAGCCACTTAATTCGAACTAGTGGGAGGCTAGCCCTCCCCAGCTTGCCCTGGTGGCCACTCTGGGCACCCCCAGGGAAACTCGTCTGCCCCCCTCCCGGCCCCGGAGCCCTTAAAGGGGCACGGTCTGGCTACAGTGCCCGTGCCAGGTGCAAGCCAGCCAGCACCCAGCCAGCAGACCCTGCATCTGGTACGGCATGAGGCAGCCACCTGCTGCCACCCCCTGGACCAGGCTGGCGGCTCCCCGGAGCCTGCCCAGATCCGCAAGAGGCGGGCGCCCGTTTTGAAAGCAAACTGATTGCCCACCAACCAGTAGCTGTCTGGGCTTCCACAGGGTGATTGCGACCCACTTCTGCAGGGGGATGGTGGGCCGTAGGTGGGTGTCGTGTCTCCTGATGGTGGGTGCGAGCCAGGCACAAAGCTCAAGGAAGGTGGCCTTGTGCATTCACCTACTGGGGTGCGGTTGCCACAGAGGAGCAGTCGCAGCCACTGAGAGTGTCCCCAGAAGGAGCTGGGGGGTCCAGGTCCATGCCCTCTAGGTAGAGGAAGGCAGCTGGCATCAAATGCAGCAAAAACAGCCATGTGGAGCCATGGCATGCCCAGGGACAGCTCCAGCACCATAGCACCCAACAGGAAAAAGCTGTGGCATCCCCCAAAAGCACAGGGCAACCAAAGTAGGCACAGCTGTAACTTTGTTGTCCCTCAAAGGGGGTCGGCAAGCAGGCAGCAGCAGCAGAGAAATGGCTGTCCAGGGAGGTCCTTTTAAGCGCGTGTCTCTGCAGGGCTCAGGCACCTGCCCTCAGAAACAACTGATGACCTTAAGCCCTGCCTCAAGTGGTTCCGGGTGGCCTTTTTTGCGAGCGAGCATCCTATGAGAGTGGACGCTCTCTTGTGCAAAAGCACATCACTTTTTCGATGCACTTTTGCAGTGTGGACGCGCTCTTGCACAAGATCTCTTCCGCAAACAGCTTCTTGCACAAGAAGCCGGCAGTGTAGTCATGTCCTGAGAAAAAGCAGCAGACTTTTATTCCTCTGGATGGCCTGAAACATGGGAGGGAGGGAACTGACGTACCACCCAGCCCCGACGGAAGGAAAGGACATGGTGGAGGGTAGGTTCTTTACTGCCCAGAGGATGGGGACTCCGGACTGGTAGGGCCTCCCGAGGGTGCAGAGGAAAGTCAGTAGGGCAGAGTTGGAGAAGAAGGGAGGAAGAGGGAGATCGTTTGAAAGAAGAGGAAAGAGTCTCGAGTGGGACATGGACTCCCCCCGCTTCCAAATCTTTCTCCACTGCCTCCTGGGCAGCAGCCTTGGATGCCAGGAAGTATACCACCTTCCCAAACATCTTAGAGGCCACCACCATGGCCACAGACAGCCTCTCCACACACATCAAGGTCCTCATGTAGGGTTCCATGTGGGGTGAGGCCAACACCAGCAGGCAGCAGACCCCATGGTCAAGGTGGGAAAGGGGCTACAGTCACCAGGGATGGAATTCCGGGAGGCAGTCAATGAAAATTGGGAGGCAGCAAGCAATTCTTGATGTACAAAATAAAGGACAATTGTGTTCAAAAATGGAATCTGTCTTTATTGAACAAAACTCGGGGAGACTGGGAAAAGGAGGTGGGAGAGGGGAAGAGAGAGGCTGGGAGAGGGGAGGGCAACTAAAATGATCAGGGGTTGGGAACAGGTCCCATATGAAGAGAGGCTAAAGAGACTGGGACTTTTCAGCTTAGAAAAGAGGAGATGGAGGGGGGACAGGAGAGAGGTCTCTAAAAGCAGGAGTTGGGTGGAGAGGGTGCATAAAGTTCTTCATTAGTTCCCATAAAGAAGGACTAGAGGACACCAAAGGAAAGGAAAGGGTAGCAGGCTTCAAACGAGTAACAGAAAGTTGTTCTTCACAAAGCAAAGAGTCAACCTGTGGAACTCCTTGCTGCAGGAGGCTGTGAAGGCTAGAACTGGAACAGAGTTTAAAGGGAAGTGAGATCAAGTCATGGAGGTTGGGTCCATGGAGTGCTATTAGCCAGGGGGTAGGAGTGGTGTCCCTGCCCAAGGTTTGTGGAAGGCTGGAGAGGGATGGCACGAGACAAATGGCTTGGTCACTGTCTTCGGTCCATCCCCTCCACGGTCCCTAGGGTTGGCCGCTGTCGGCAGACAGGCTACTGGGCTAGATGGACCTTTGGTCTGACCCAGGACGGCCATTGTAAGCTCAGGGCTCAGCATCGGGGGTCTCAGTGGACCCCCTTGATTTTCATGCACACCTGCTCCTGGGTAGCCAGGCTGGCAGCTCTCCTGCCCTAGACGGCCACTTTCCTGTGCCTAGTGCGGAGATCGTGGACAAGGTCCACGATGTCCGCCCTAGCCCAGGCGGGTGCCCGCCTCTTGCGGTCCCGGGCAAGCTCCTGGGAGCTGCCAGCCTGGTCCCGGGAAGAGGGGGAGGGCTGGGAGGCATCGGGTGGGTGGCTCGATCCGTGCCAGGTGCAGGGTCTGCTGGCTGGGTACTGGCAGGCTTGCACCTGGCACGGGCACCATAGCCAGCCCGTGCCCCTTTAAGAGGTCCGGGGCCGGGAGGGGGGCAGACGAGTTTCCCTGGTGTTGGCCAGAGTGGCCACCAGGGAAACCTGGGGAGGGCTAGCCTCCCACTAGTTCGAATTAAGGGTCTACACAGCCCTTAATTCGAACTAGTAAATTCGAACTAGGCTTAATCCTTGTGGAATGAGGATTACCTAGTTCAAACTAAGTGCTCCGTTAGTTCGAATTAAGTTCGAACTAACGGAGTGCTAGTGTAGCGCCTATCAAAGTTAGTTCGAACTAACATCCGTTAGTTCGAACTAACTTTGTAGTGTAGACATACCCGTGTGTGGGTGAGGAAGAGGGAGTTCGTTTGAAAGAAGAGGAAAGAGGAAAAAGCACAGGTGCCCTGGTAGCCACTCCATCCATAGTAATCACAGCTTACATGCGAGATTGCGTCCATTCAGTGTGAACACTCTGTCAAAAAATCAGATGGCTTTTTCAATGAGCTTTTGCAGTGTGGACGCTCTCTTTCAGAAGAAGTTTTTTTTGAAGATCTCTTCCGGAAAAGCTTCTTCTGAAAGAAGCCTGCAGTCTAGACATAGCCTAAGAGACAGGAGAGACAGGACAGGAGAGATGGTTCAGATGCTGCATATCCCTTCTCCACAACAGCCATCTAGAAACATGGCGCTATTTGAGAAATACATGACCAACAAGGCAGAGTAGCTAAAGGGGCCTGTTACTCAAAGGGAACCCAAACCCCTTAGGACATGTCTACACCAGGAAATTATTTCAAAATAACTAAAATCAAAATAACTCCCAAAATAACAATTTTGATATGTGCATTATTCCTTGAGGAAAGGCAGAAATCCAGATTTCAAAATAAAATGGCAACAAGGTTAGGGGAGCAGGGGCTGAACCTGAAATTTCCAGCTGTTTCTGTTTTCAAAACCAACCATTTCTCTGGGCTGGAATTGTCTGCCAAAACATTGCAAATGTGGTTTCCAAATCAAAAGGAAAATCCCCCCCCCCCCCCCCCCATTTTGACAGCTCCTCATTGTTTTGCAGAGATGTTTCTGGGGCAGCTCTCCCCATGAGCCCCTGGGGGTGGGAGGGAAGAACTTGGGCCATAGGTGTTACCTTGGATACAGGTCATACAGTGCTGATGGGCACTGGTGGAGTTTGGGGGAAGCAGGAGGGGCCGAGCTCGCAGCTAAGCCTTCAACACACTGACAGCCAGGCCCTAGGGTTTCAATGCTGCACCCCCGACAGTAAGGCCAGATATGGAGCACAGGGCCACTGGGGCCACACGTTACAGCTCCACACCAGCCACAGGCTAGAGACGTACGTTTTATTTGTAATATCATGAGACCTGGCAATGCTGCAGCTGGCAGCCTGATCCCCTGCTGCACCCCGCCCCCCTGCTGCAATTCCCAACAGCATCTGAACTTCCCCAAGTCCTTGTTCCACAAGAAGCTCCTGCAGCATCGTCCCTGCCCCCTGTGAGCCCGGACAGTCCAGCTAGCACCCAGGAGAAACAGGGAGGTGGGGTCTGCCCTCAGGGTGCTGTTCAGTGTGAGGCTACCACAGCCCAGTCTGATGTGCAGGGGGGCTAATCTTGCCAGGCACTCGCATTCGCATGATCCAAGGCTGGAAGGAACAACGTGTATGTGTGTGTGCAATAGAAATGGGTCCGTGCCACTGCTAGACCCCTCCCTTCTGCATCTCCCAGACCGGTGTGTATGCACATTTATTTTTGAGTAGCCCCAGTGGTAATGTAGCTGCCTGTCTCATGACTCAAGAAAAGAAATCTCTCAGCAACATTATGTTTTACAGTCTCTGTTATGTGTATGCCCAGTTCCCTCCAGTTAACACATGCCAATGTCACAGAGGGTTGGTTAAAGGCAGGGCTACTCAACTTGGGGCCAGGGGGCCACAATGATAATCACAGCACATGAAGAGGGTTGTAACTTATATGTGGTTGCATATACATGCAAATATATGGAAATAGCTTCTTTCATACTGACAGGCACCCTGGCGCTCCCGGTATCTCCTCCCTGGGAACTAGAAATGCCAACCCCCTGTGCCCGTCTGTTCAGCCAGCTTGTCCGCTTGCATCTTTCAGTGCTCACCCCGCCTGGGAGACACTTTGCCATTGTGGAGCATGTTCCCAGTGGAGGCCATGCGCAAAGGATCTCACCCACCAGCTGCCTGTTGAGACCCACATAAACCCAACTGTGCCACGGGTTGCAAAGAAAAGGGCCATGAACTGAGTCGCCCTGGATTAGAGCATTATCACACATGGCCGTGGTTCTCCTTGGAGTCCAGGGAGGAGGACATTTCTGATGTGTCGCCAATTGGACGAGGTCCATTTCCTTTGGACGAGGTTCTTTCTCAGCTGTCGGTGTTTGACTCTGAATGCCCCAGTGCAGTCTTTGGCCCTCTGTCCCTGGAAGGAGAGTCTTTATCCCTTCTGGAGTCAAGTTCTGAGCATCTTTCTCACACACCCGCAGGAGAGTTTGGTGGGGGAGAGAAGGCTCAAACCTGGAGGTTTTGCTGCTTCTTTCCACCCTTCTCTTTGGAGGTGTTTCCAGTGGTGGATGCTTTAGCTCTGTTTGATCCCCCTGACTCTTCTTTAGGAGCCATTTTGTGGGCAGGAGCTTTTGGAAACTTTCTCTCACAGATAGCCTTGCGCTGTTTTCATTCATTGGCTTGTTTCCGGGGCCAGGGTGATACAATGGGGCTGTTTCTTCGGTTCCAAGTGGCCCTGTGTCATTTTCTGCCCCTTCCCCACACTTAGGGACATGCGACTATGCAGGGGCTGTGGAATCTCCCTGAACAACAGACCCACTGACTCCTAATGTCTGGGGGAAATCCCAGCCACTAGGGGGGCAGATGCTGAGGGGTTTCCCCTGGTGCTGTCCTACAGTGGGACCAGGGCTGAGGAACGGGAACAATGTCTCCAAACCTCCCACAGGAATCTCCAGGATCAGGGCCATTGAATTGACACTGTAAAATGAGAGATTCCCCCCTTCTAGATCCAGAAACACCCCAACCACTGTCGGCTTCACAGCCCAGCTCTGGATCACAGTGTCAGCCTCGCTGGGGTGAAACTGCCCCATTGCTCTCCCCATAGACCAGCACCCCTCCTCAAGGAAACTCTCCAGACTCTGATTTCTCACTTTCTCTCTCACAGTCTTACTCAGCACCCCCAGCTCCCATTCTGGGCTGTCCCCCACCTCCACTTCCCAGTACCACCTGCGAGCCCCTGTTCCCTGATCAGGAAACCCCTCCCTTCCCACAGAGATGAGGAGTCGGGTGTGTGTACAGCTTCGATCCAGGGTGACGGGAACTGAGGAGAGAAATCAGAGTAATCCCATTAGTCCCCGTTCAGTCAGTGACCCCACGGGGGAGAGATTCCTTCAGGGGTGGGGTGGCTGGTGGGATGCCCGACACTGCTAGCCTGGGCACAGCCAGGAGCTCCAGGGAGCTGTGCCTGGGCCCGTCCCTTGGAAAGGGTGGGGGGGATCCTTGAATCCTCTCGGTCCCCTTGCCCAGGATCTCTCCCTGAGAGGCATCAGAGCTCCTAGGGACCCATGGAAAGTGACCAGGGCTGAAGACTGTGAGGGCTGATTTGGGACTGTTGAAGCAGATGATGGGTTGGGGATAGATCATTGCTGAAGGGCCAATGGGAGATCGGGGTGGGTCAGATCTAACTCAGGAATGGTTGTGAGGAGCAGCGTGGGGGTGAGGCCTACAGCTCAGGGAAGAATGTTTGGGGACCATACATGGCATCCAGCCCCATGCTCTGCTGTCAGCTCCTGCCCTGCCTTTCCTGCTCCATGGGGACCCAACACCTCTACATAACCCCCATGCCGCTGAACCCAGCACCGCTCTGCTCAGCCCCTCCCAGCCCCACTCACCCATATAGCTCCGAGCTCGTCTGAAACCTGCACGGGAAGAGGAAGAAACATGGTCAGGGCCTGGCAAAGACAGGGCACTCACTCCCACAGGAGAGGCCATTCTGGGAGATGGTAAATTGGCTGATAGAAAATGAGCGATGTGACATGTGACATGAAAATGCCCCCTCTTACCTCGCTCTCTGACAGACCTGTCTGAAATGGAAAGAGACGGAGTTATTCCCTGTTAGGCTATGTCTACACTGTGGGGTGGGGGGGTTGGGATACCAGAGATATCCCAAAAAATATCCACCGAGTCCAGGAATCATGTTTACACTTTTTTTTTTTTTTGCAGAAGTGCAAACACGCTCTTTCCAAAGCCCCTGTATTTCTCCTTCCACGAGGAATAAGGGGGTTTCCAAAAGAGGGGGGTTTCCGACATTTGGCCAACTCTAGACAGGCCAAACGTTGGAAAAACCTGTTCTGACAAAAGAACCAGAAAATGCTATGCAAAATGCACTTCAGATTTTGTGTAGCTTTTTCCAATAGAAGATGGCAGTGTAGCCCTAGCCTCAGTTACGCAGAGAGCTGCTGTCTGACCCTGTGATCACTTTGAACATGGTTCATGAGTCCTCCCAGCCGGAGGAGAAATGTCCCAGCTGCGTGAAGTGAGACAGACCCTTTCACTCAGAGATCTCTGCTCACAGCAATGACCAGCTCTCAGGGAAGCCTCTGTATTGTCTCTTAATATCAAGGACTGGAGCAAATGTGGCTCCCAGTGATGCTGCTGTAAATCCACAGTGATTCCATTCCCTGGAGTGAATCTGGATTTACACCGAAGTCACCCAGTGCAGAATTCTGGTCATTGAGAAGCTGCTGTTTGGTTGGGTTGATGTGGTATTTTAAAGGGACACTGGTAGGATAAAAATCCTGGGTATGATTTGCCAAGGATCTAAATCTTGGAAGTTGTGTGCCTGGATCCTGATCCCACTCTGACCTAAGATCCCAATAAGGTGTGTGACTGCACAGCTGCCTATTCAGCACCACGCAAGTGCTCCAGAAAGCTGCAGAGGGCAGGGACCTGCAGCGTCTGGGTGAGGGATGCCCCACCCTCATTCCCAGACCCAAACAAGCAGCCTGCCCTCCAACCTGCTGTGACAGCCCAGCTCCGACTTGGTCCCTGTTGCAGCCACCTGACCTCATCCTGGCCCCAGAGTGGCTACAGTGGGGATAGGTGCCCTCCCCCCCGACCAGGTGCTTCTGTAAGTAGAGAATTCTCTCTGCTTGCATTATCCCTACAGCACCCTCCTACACCCCAAAGTTCTTCCAAACCAGGCCTCACCCCAGCCAAAGCCCTCACACCCCTGCACCCCAGCCTTCTGCCCCAGCCCTAAACTTCTCATCCCCAGACCTATCCCAGATCCCACACCACCAGCCAGAGCCCTTACAACTTTGCACCCCAATACCTGGCCCATGCCTGAGCCCTTCCAACATTACACACCTTTTAACCCCGTTCCTGCCATGTGAATTTTGTTAATGTGCACTAATATGAACGTGATGACCTCTGTGTCGCATGTCACCTGCACACAACAAAACTCATTCCACATGAATCTAGTCTCTGTTCTTCTGCCCATTAAGGGAAATGGCCCAGAGAAGCCTGCCCTGCAGCAGACATCTATAAAAACTGGATGTCCCCTTCCGGCTGGGTCAGAACAATGCAACTGGTCTTGGATGGTCGAAGGCCAGATGACACCAGTTTGCCTACATTAGCTCTGCCGAGGGCTCACAGTGCTGCTGAGGGACGGAGGTGACTTTAACTCTGATTTCAGACTGAACTGTTCTCTCAGCTCTGCCCTGCACTGTTGGTGCCTCTGGATCTGCTCAGCACCGTGTGTGGCCGGGAGCCTCTGCCCTGGGGCTCTAATGGGGAGGTGGATGGACTTACCGATCTTTTCACGCAGCACCTGGCGTTCTGGGGAGAGAGGAGAAGGAAATCATCACGGGTTCAGCCTGGGTGATCCCAAGCCCAGTGACATGGGGTGGTTCTGAGCGTGGGTCATTCCGAGCACAGACACACGGGCTGTTCCAAACGCTGTGGGTGCCTACGCTGCAGCAGGGATTGAGCTCCCAGTCAACAAGGCAGCGCAGAGTTTGTGCACTAACAGCGGTAGGGTACCTGTGGGGAGCATGTGCAGGGCCTTAGGCTAGTTGCTTCTCTAGTACAAATGCACTTACACTCCCTGGGTACCTGCACGGGCAGATACCCTGAGCTGCTGCCTCTGTCCAGCTCCCTGACAAGGTCTCAGATCAGCATTCCCTTCCCCCTCCTCTCCCACCAGGGTGGGGATATTGGATAGTCAGATAGTTGCTTCCATCACTAGTGCAGTGCTGGATTTGTTGTCCAGCCCTAGATACACAAGGTCAGGTCCTTTCCAGGCTCTTATGGGAGCAAAGTGGTGGTGGGACCCTTCAGAGAGACCCTCACAGAGCCCGTACGGAGCATAGCAGGGTTTGGAGACTGTTCATTTATGCCCGAGGCCAAAGGGAGAAGAGGCCAGGACTGAGGAACCCAGGGATGGGATGTCAGGGAAGTTGGGGCAGTCGTTCGGATACAGTGGTTGTGATGTCAGGAGCTCAGAGTTGGGATAGTGGGAAGGCAATGGGCGGGACTGAAAGGCCGTGGCAGAGCTGTGTGGATAATGGGAGCCTAGCAATGGGAGAGCAGGGATTTTGCACTTCAGAACTGAGCTATCTCCACACAACCACAAGGAAAACCTTTGCCCAGCCCCTGGCTTGGGCTTTGTCTACACAGCCTCTTAATTCAGTCTACAGTGGTATGGTTTGCAGCCCACACCAAAGTGCCGTGATCTAATGCCCCAAGTGCACATCGGTGCTATACAGCACCTAGTTCACACTAATGCCGTTTTCCTCCAACAGGACAACATTAACGCAAAGTAGGAACATCGTAGTGTGCATGAATAGCATGTCCATGGGGTTGTTACAGTGCAGCACTTTGGTGCATGTTGCTATTCACAGTCCCGTAATATGACTCCTGAGCCCTGCTAGCCATTACATTCACTCTCCCTTGTTCAGTATGGCAGTGAATTCCAACCTGCAAAAATGAGCAATATTTATTTCCGAAGCTGGGGGAGGGGAGGAAGAGGGCAGAGGAGGAGGTGATTATGAAGGTGACGAAAGTCCATATATTGTTTGTGATGATTGTCCTGTCTTATTATGGTATGAGAAAACAGACACACATTCACTGATCATTTACCCACATACCTTTTTCCAAGGCTTCCTTCTCAGACTCTGAAATGGGGAAGAGAAAAGACACAGGATTGCCAGCATTGTATTTCAGAAAAAAGGGGATTGCTTTCTTAACACCCTTCCCCCATCCCTCCTCCCACAACATTAACAACAATGGCAATAAGTATAGTCCTGACCTACATTCGCAAGGGGGATTTCTTGCTGCTTTTTGCAGCAGTCAGTAACTCCTGGTCTTGTTGCAAAGAAGGGAAGAAATATGGGGTGTCCCTTATAATAAAGAACTGTTGGCAACCACTAAATGTAGACTCATAAGGCAGGAAGAGACCTCAGGAGTCATCAAGTCCAGCCCCCTGCCTGAAGCAGGACCAACCCCAACTAAATCAACCCAGCCAGGGCTTTGTCAAGCCAGGACTTAAAAACCTCTAGGGATGGAGATTCCACCACCTCCCTAGGGAACCAATTCCAGTGCTTCACCACCCTCTCAGGGAAATAGTTTTTCCTAATATCCAGCCTAGACCTTTCCCACTGCAACTTGAGACCATTGCTCCTTGTTCTGCCATCCATAACTACTGAGAACAGACTCTCTCCAGCCTCTTTGGAACCTCCCTTCAGGAAGTTGAAGGCTGCTATCGAATCCTCCCTCCCTCTTCGCTTCTGCAGACTAAACAAACCCAAATCCCTCAGCCTCTCCTCATAGGTCATGTGCTCCAGTCCCCACATCATTTTGGTTGCCCTCCGCTGGACCCTCTCCAATGCGTCCACATCCTTCCTGTATTTGGGGGCCCAGAACTGGACACAATACTCCAGATGTGGCCTCACCAGAGCCAAATAAAGGGGAATAATCACATCTCTAGAACTCCTGGCAATGCTCCTCCTAATGCACCCTAATATACCATTAGCCTTCTTGGCTACAGGGACACACTGTTGACTCACAAGCTGGGTGATTTTGTACATTCCTTAATAACTTGGGTTTCTTACAGATCTCTTAGAGCTGCATTCCCCACACTCATGTAGGAGCTGGCAAGTTTGACGGGAGAAGGGCTAGGGTTTAGTGACAGACAGCAACAGGCAGAAGAGCTGGGGGAGTCTCCCAGCAGCATCCCTTTCATTTCCCTGAGCCCACAGATAACACCGAGCAGCGACACAACTCACACACCTCACAGAGCAGGAGACCTACCAGAAGATAACAGAGCCTCCTCTTCAGCACGTTTCTTCTGAGGTGCCTTTTGTTTTGCTGTGAGACAGAGAACCAGACATTGCCGTGAGACAGAGAAGGAAGGGGATAAACTAGGCAGTTTGCTATTACAGGTGGGGCCGTGACCCCAGTGTGTTTGTTAGTTTGTTTTATTTCCTAAACCAGCCCAAGGCAAATATCTGATCAATGACACACGCCCATGTCCCAGCCCAAGGCCCTCTAGAGCCAGACTCTAAACATGCCAATGACACAGCGCCATTACCTGTGTATTCACGGTATGCATAAGCTCCAGCAGCGATGAGAACCACAGTGAACAATGCCCAGAATGCAGCCAGCCAGGGAGACACCTGGGGGAAGATGTCACCTGGGAAACAGAGAGTACAGGGTATAAGTAGCATGGTCCCAACCTGGAGCTGAAGAACCAGGTTTGCCATATGATTTGACAGCTGAGTGCTGGCTGAGAGATCCCCAAAAGTTCACAGTCATGAGAAACGTCCCCTTCAGGTTCAAATCACAGCCACAAATGGGAGCTAATGAAGCTAGAGAAGCCAGTGCAACATCAGCACCAAGAACTGACTCTGCACTGCCCCAAACCCTCCTGTTGCTACAAGCCAACAGCCAGCGGCTCCATGCCCAGCCTGCCTTGCCCTACCTACACCTGCTGGCTGTTTGGCTGTTCACTGTCACATGGTTCCCAATTCTCAGTTACCATGTCCAGTCCACATAAAATCCAGCAGAGACCAATTATTTTCCTAGTTGGTCCCAATGAGTGATGAGTTCATGGATTCATAGATGTTCAGGCCATCTATGGGTTTTTATAACCATCTAGTCTGGCATCCTGTACAACCCAAGTCAGAGACTCTCCCTCAGTGACCCCTGCATCCAGCCCAGAACTTCTGTTCCAACTGGAGCAGAGATTATAGAAAGAGACACCTAGTTTGGGTTTAAAGATTCTAACTGATGCAGAATCCACCACATTCCCTAGGTCAGTTGTTCCAACAATTAATTCCCGCTCACTGTTCAAAATCTGCAGCTCATTTCTAGTCTCAATTTGTCGAGCTTCAACTTCCAGCCGTCAACTCTTGATCTGCCTTCGTCTGCTAGATTAGTGACCTATCTACTGTCAGAAATATCCTCCTCCCTGTGTAGGTACTAACAGAAAGTGAGCAAGCCACCTTTTAACCTTCCCTTGGATAAGTTGCAGAACTTGAGCTCCTGCATTTCTAACAAGGAGGCAGATTTCCAGCCCTCTAATCCTTCCTGAGCATTTTTCAATTCGTCAACATCCTGTTTGAAAGTATGAGCACAGGAACTGGATACGGTATCTAGCAATGGTCTGGCTAACAGCATAGATGGAGGTGATGTCACTTCCTGTCTCCTTCTGGATATTCTTGTTTATACATTCCAGGGTTACATGAGCCATCTTAGCTCCAGCATTGCTGTGGTAGCTCACATCCAACTCATCTTCAGAGTCATGGCTTTCCCGATTACAGTCTACCATCTGTCAAGTGTGACCTCAGCTCTTTCACCATGTTAAAATGCATGTGTGATGGTGGGAATTTTTTATCTGACCAGAGAACTAATCCCGTGGATCCATGACAGGCTGTTGATAGCATGAACCCACCTTATCAAGCAAGCGAGGCCATAGTACTTATGTTGTTATTTAGGTCTCCATCAAATCCTGGGTTGTCTGCAAATTTTACCTTTCTGTTCAGCTCTTCGTCTATAGTACTTGTGTTGTTATTTAGGTCTCCATCAATTCTTGGGTTGTCTGCAAATTTTACCTTTCTGTTCAGCTCTTTGATAAAGCTCTTGAGTAGCATTGGCTGTGAGACATCCCCCTTGCAGGATGATTCACATTACAATTACTTTAAGATCTATCAGTTAGTCAGATTTTCCTACATATAATGTGGGCTACAATGATTTTGTACAGTGCTAATTTTTTTTTATCAGTTTCATGCAATTGTAAGTCAAAGCCCTTACAGAGTCTGAGACCTGCTCGACACGACAAAGTTAGGTCGGGTTGATTACATCGCTCAGAGCGATCACAAATGCCACATCCTTTACAATGTATTGAAGGGGACCTAACCCCAGGTGAAGACACCACTAGTTCAATGTTAGAATTATTCTGACAACCTTGCTATGCTTCTCAGAAAAGTGTATTTACTACAGCCATGGATGAATCCTGTCTGTTAACAGAATTAACACTGTTGCTTCTGTAATGTTTCGAGTGTAAACAAGACCCGAGTCTATTACTTCAGCAGTTACCTTTATCAACAGTGAGAATTACCATGTTTTGTCAACCATACACCCTGCCAAATATAATCACCACCAAACAGAACCTGTGATCTATTTTAGGAATAGCATTGAATTAATATGCAGCTCCAACAGCATCCGTGGAGCTCTAAGAAAGGCAACACTAGCAGCAATAACAACTTAGTGCCCTTAGCAGCTCTGGAGAGAACTGTCAACAATCCGTTCTGCATGGGGATGGGAGGGGGAACTCACTGGACAGGCGAATGGCTGATTGTTGCTCCGTCTCCACCTGGCCATTCCTCACGATGCAGATGATGTCTCCATTGTCTTCTGCTGTGACTGTGACATGACTCACAACACTGTACAGGTTCTCCCTGTCCTGAGTCACGTCAGTCACAGTCTCCGTTGCCAGGTTCTGCTGATTCTTTCCAACCCACTGGAGTTCGGGTTTGGGGAACCAGCCTGCAGATCGACAGGTCAGCCCGATCCCCTGGCCCCGAGGGCCCAGCACATCAATGAACACTGGAGCCACAGCTGCAGGGAGAGACAGAGAGTGACTGGAAATCTCCAACCCTTTTGTGCCATCTCTGTGGGATCCCTCAACCTGACAGTTCAAGAAATTAAATAAAACCATCTTGCATTTGCATAGAGCACAGTGCTCTGCAGGTCCAATGAGGAATGTTCAGGCTTAAACCGCTACACAGAAATTCCTGCACCTGCTGCTGAAATGAAGCCACTTCTGGGGTGGAGCCCAGCAGCTGTCAAAAACATTTGAATAAAGAGCAGTAAGTGAAGGATGGTGACCTTCCCTTTAAGCTGTGCGCTTGCACAGGCGCACAAAAAAAATCCACCTTGTCCACCTCCTCTGAAAAGCTGTGCAGCTGCATGATGGGCTGGGGACAGAGGATACACATGGTGAGTGGTAGGCAACTGCTCTGGCGGCTGGTGATGGAACTGCCATGTGGGAACCCGGGAGGGAGAGCGGCAGAGCAGGTACCGGGGCTGGTACCAGAGGGGAAGGCAGTGAGGCCAAGGAGAGCAAAGGACAGGGGGAAACAGATGAGAAGTGGGTCTGGGCACAGGTCTCTGGGCAGTGGTGCTTGGGCTGTGGCCATAGTCCCAGGTACTGTCTCTTTGTGTTTGGAGTGCAGATAGCATGGCCCTGGCATATATACTGGTAGCATATGGGGGAGGCAGATTGCAAGTCTGGGCACAGCTACACAGTGTGTGGGGGTAGGCAGTTAGTCAGGCCTATACAGATACCAGCTGGCTGGGTGTGGTCCTGATTGGGGCACAAGCCGTACCAGATGCAGGTAAATTCCTGGGGTTCGGGGGAAGGGGCAAGGTGAGGGGTTAGACAGATTTCTGGGCGATGGGGGAGAGAACAGGGGAAGTGCAGGGTCAGACACAGGTCTCTGGGCAGTGGGGGGGGGGGGGAGAACAGGCAAATTGTGGGGCTGGGCACAGGTATCTGGGCAGTGGTTTTTGCACTGTGGGCCTTAGGGCCAGGTCCTGGCTGTTTGTGTTTGGGGGAAAGATAGCATGATCCTGGCATATATTGATGGCATGGGGGAGGTTGCTAGGGTGGGCACAACTACAGGGTGTGGGTGGGGGTAGGCAGTTAGTCAGGCCTATATAGATACCAGCTGGCTGGGTGTGGTCCTGATTGGGGCACAAGCCGTGGGGCACACACAGTGTGCGTTGAGGGCAGGGGCCAGCTGGGTGGTTTTCAGGGTGCATGGGTGCAGGGTTATGCACCTTGTTAATCATTGCTTGGTTTAGTATTTTTTCTTAAATAACAATTTAAATGTATATATATATATATATAATTTTGTTGGTAACTGGCCATGCTGGCACACAACTGAACAAGCGCCCATGGCCACAATATTAGCGCACAAGTCAAAACTCACTCTGTTCACAGATACAAAGTCTCAGTGGGAATACTGATGATGACCCCACCTACATCTCATCTACCTCTTGTCCTGGGCCACCTTCCTAAATATTGCCCCTCTGATGTCTTTCCTTCACATTGGTAATGGTGCCCCAGACTATGCTGCCTTCATGTTTGGATTTTTCTCATTGCTGAACATAATCATCTCCCATCATTTATCCCCTCCTCCCCAAAAACACACAGAGCCTTTCAACTAGGAGCCACCAAAATGAGAGATGAAATCATAACATCCTCAGGGCTGTTCATTATCCCAGGAGGGCCCCTCACCTGGGATGGGGTGTGTCTGTATTGTATTGTCTGGGGCTCCGTTACATCCTTTCCACTGCCCTGGTGCAGCACTGAACACACAGCCAGTACCATGAGACTAAAGCCAGCCCTTGCAGGCTGCAGGGTGAGTTTCAGGAAGGTCAAATGTACTTAAGACCTGAACCAGGGTAAGGGATGGACATGATGATAAAGATCCCACACGCCCTCACACAGCACCTCCAGGAGCATGAGAGCTGAGGGCCGTAAGAACATAAGAACAGACATATTGGGTCAGACCAACAATCCATCCAGCCCAGCGTGCTGTCTGCTGATAGTGGCCAATACCAGATTCCCCAAAGGGAGGGATCACAACAGGTAATCCTCACACGATCCCTCCCCTATCACCCATTTCCAGACAAACAGAGGCTAGGGACACCATTCCTACCCATCCTGGCTAACAGCTATTGATGGACCTGACCTCCATGAATTTCTCTGCTCTGTTACTCATTGAACCACGGTGGTTTAATGCTGAAATGACCTTGCTAGTGTAACCCACACACCTGCTGGGTGTGGTGCACTGTCCCGTCTGGTGGCACGGAGACCCCTTACAGAGAGAATGAGTCTGTTCCTCAGCCTTAGCTGAGAGCTGGCTGCCTTTTAGCTCATGGGACAGAGGCTCATGCACGAGGCTCCAGTGGTCCCAAGTTGGGTTCCTGCTGTTCCCCCTGTCGGCGTTACTCTAGCGCCACAGTGGGACCAGCATTGAGTGAGAGGGGAGAGCGCCCCCTCCTGAGTCCTGCCCATTTGTCCCTGCTGCACAGGACCCTGCTGGGGTCAGTACTGGGGCACTCCGAGGGGGCTCTGGCTGTACAGACACAGCACCCTGGGAATCGTACCCAGGGCTTGATGTTAGAAGAGAAAAAGAGCCTAAAGCATGGGGGGGCTCTCCACTCCACACACCACCCCTCCCCGCCCACGGTCTGCTGCCCCTTAGCACTGTCAGGGGCTCTGGGAGCCTCTCTCAGGGTTGGGCAACCTGCTGCAACATGCCACAGATCTGAGAGGCAGAACTGGGACACACTCCGGTCATCCGCTCCCCGCAGGGTCCTGGCCCTGGCCCCTTTACTCTGCAGGGCTGGGATGGTCAGAGAGGGGTGGGGTTCATAGGGCCTCAGCTCTCCCTGCTCTGTTCCAGCAGGGGGCAGTGCACATGGGGACAGGCAGGGACATAATGGGGATTGAAACGTTACCAGCGAGAGCACAAGGCGCCAGGAGGAGGATCCCCAGGCTGCACACACAGAGCTGCCATTGCGTCGCCATGGGAACACCCGGGGCAGGGACCTGTCAAGAGAGAGCAGGGATGGTTAACACCCCCCAGCCTGCATGAGGGGGCTGGCAGGGCAGAGAACACGCCCCACCCATCATCTGACCCCACCCCTTCTGCTCCCAGGCAGAGCATCTCCCCAGGGACAGGAGAGGATTCACCCCTCCCAGGCTGCTTTGCCCCCTGGCCTGGTCTGGCACCAGGAATTTACATCCTGGGCCATGTATCCACTCCCATTTCCTCTCCTTGTCAAGTCTCTGCCCACCCTTTGGTGCAGGTATCCCCCTGATTCCAGAGTAGTGTGAGCCTGCAGCAGAGCAGGGCCACTTCCAAGGGAACCCCAGTGGTACCCACTGTCCTCACTACACATGGTATATGGGCAGGTTGCTCCATCCCCTGACCTCTCCCGCCCAGACCCTGCACCCTCACCCTGCTCCTGCAAGGTAATTTGCTGCGATCTGTCTGGGAATGTCCTCCACGTGCCACTATAATGGTCATGGGGCTCATTAAATAACAAGCCAGGGAATGCAAAAGAAATACAACTATTAAAAACAAACCAAAGCGGGCCTGTGATGATGAAGTGCTGGGCGCAGCCACACCACGGTCTGTACCCCTGCTCCCAGGGGCTGGCTCACAATTCCTGTGTTCCTCATCCCATCTCTGCTGAGGGAGCCTTTCTAAATTATATGTTTGCACAAATACATCCCTACAGCCAACACCGTGCTGCCGAGGGAAGCTGTTGCAATAAGGGGAAGAAATTCTTGTTGATGCCCCAACCATTCTAGGGGAAGAAGGGGACCCTGCATTGGTAACCCAGCCTCACCCGCTGCAGAATTCCTAGCTGGCACAGGAAGGACAGACTGGAGTCTGGACCCTGGCCAAGCACTCTTCGTTATCATTGTATTTCCAGCTCTGCCTGGGAGCAAAGAGTGAGCGTAGGTTTCTGGGCCTTTTTGTAAGCAGGGCTCTGAAATCCAGAGAGCAGGGTGCAACAGGTACGGGGGATGCTGGGAGGTTGGCAACCATGGGGATTTTTCTCAGGCAGTATTTCTTTTTATTCAAACGTTTTCCTGAAATGAGCCAATATTCTGTTCTGTGTCTATGCGGCGCCTGGCACACTGGGCTCCTTGCTCCAGGAGAGTCTCTGATGCTACCACAGTAACAACACTCAAATGGCTCCAGGGGTTCACTGTGACCAACAGACATAATGCCGCCCATGGAACATCCTTTTCTGCACCACGAACAAAACCATGTTTAGCACAGTGCTCCTCACACTGGGCTAGATACAGCGGTTCTGTATGATTTGCATGATGGGGGTGAGGAGGGTCTCCAGTCAGGGGTCAGGGCCCCACTGTGCCCACTGCAGCACAGACACTTGACAACGGCAGCTGTCAGACCGGTCCCAGCCAGAGGGTGAAACAGACAAACCCTCGGTGGTGATGGTTTGGGGGACTTTGAGGAGGACAAGCTGGTGGCAGTGTGGGGGAAGCGTGGGGGCACTAGAGAGGACAGGCCGACATTCCAGGCTGCCATGGCTGGCAAAGCGAGAACTCGAGGCTTGAGGCCCTGCTGGGTCTGACAGGCGATACAGGATCCAATCCCACATGTCCCTGTGGCTCAGTCCAGGCCTGTGTGCTCGGTGCCCTGTTCTGGGTGCACACCTGTTCTACCACAGCATCATCTCCCTCCAGACACGGCCAGGTCTGCACCCAGTGCCAGCCTGAGAGCTCTGTAGGGCAGGGATGATCTCTCACTGTCTGTATGTGCACTGTGTAGTTCATGGTAAAATGAAGGACCAGGCCTGTGTCACGGTCTGTGTTGCAGCCAGCACAAGGAGGTTTACATCTTGGTCAGGCTCAGTGCAATGCCCAGCACAGAGGAGCTTGGCGCTCTGTTGTGATCTGGGCAGCACCCGGCCCAATGGGACTCCAAACTCAGCTGGGCCCCTCAGGCGCTTTTGTAATACTGATAATAACCACAAGAGAATGCCCGAACTCAGAGCCAAATCCCCTTCCCCCAACACACACACGTCTGGCCTGGCAGCCTGGAGAGTCATTGGGCCCTGCACACCCATCCTCAGCCAGGCGTGACTCTCAGCCTGGGACACAAGATTTATGAGGCGACAGGGGCCCCGCGTGGAACAGATTTGTCAGCACAGGAACCAGAAACCGTCAGGACCATCCATCTTGGGGAGCGGGGAGCTCAGATCCCAGCTCCCCGGCCCCCAACTCCACAACCAAAGTAACTGAAACTTATTCACATGATCCAAAGGCCGACCCCCAGCCCTATAGTCACCCCACTCCCGCCTTTGTGCTGCTTCCTAAGGCAAAGACGTGACCCAGCTCAGGTGACAGAAAGCATCCGCCTCTGGGTAGCTGGGGAAGGGTAACACACCAAAATTCATATCACCATCTAGACATTAGTGCAGTGCCCAGGGAAACTGAGGCACGCACATGGGTTACTACAAGACAGTAAACCTCACATGCAACATAACAGAAGGAACAAAGGAAATACAGTCCCCACCCGGTCACACAGCCCCACTTCCTAGGGGCATCAGAGAAGCAGGGTGGGGCAAAGCTGTGAGTAGGGTGACCATATTTTCCCAAAGGGAAAATGGGGTGCCCCACAGGTTGACCTGAAGCTGCCCTCCTCCTTCTGCAGGGCCAGCCTGAGGTGTCCCCCCTACAGGAAGTGTGAGGCCAGTCTGAGCCCTCCCTGCCTCCTGCCCACATGGGGTGGCTGGTGTGAGGTCCTGCTCTCTCCACCCGCAGTGTGTGGGGCTGACCTGAGCCCCCCATTCTCCATCCACATGCGGACCTGGCCCAAACCTCCCTGACACTATAGGGCTGGCCCAGCTGAGCTGCTTTCCCCAACCTCTGTGTGGGCAAATTTGGAGTTCTCTGGGTTTCCTTTGCCAGCCAATGATCAGTGAACAAGAGCAAATGGGTCAAACGCCCTGGTCTGCCAAAAAGATCAGACTGAGACAGTGCGGCCTTTTGGAGAGGCACCAGCCATCTGTGCACCCTTCAGAAAAAGGCCCCAAGGAACCCCAAACGGCCATTCAGTGCAGCGAGAGGATAATGGGGGGGAGCAGTGACTCGCGCCTGCTATTAGAGTTTGTCCGGCACTGATGGGAGGTCGGAACAGCCTGTGATTTGGGGGGGATTTGCTTCTGGGGGGCAGAAATGTGAGGAGTCCTTAAAAGCAAAGGAAAGGGGGTAATAACAGGGAGGGACCTACCTCAAGGACTCAGCACGTCCCAAGAGTTGCCAGGCAGCGAGCCGGGGTCCCACACCGAGCGCCCAAGGAACTGAATTGACGAGCTGGAGCGGGTGGGGAAATGGATCCCGGAGCTGCTGGCGAACTCAAACTAGGGAAAGTGAAAGCACCAGAGTGTCTGTCACACATTAACCTGGCAGAGAGAGGATCTGGCCAGGACCCAGGGAAGGTGTCCGGTTACCTGTGTAGACAAGGGGGGCAGGGAGGAGATTTTGCCTCTGGGGTTCCCTTCCTCTTGCAGCGCAGCCTACAAATCTGCACCCCACTCCCATCCCCATCCCCTTCCCTACCATTGAGCTCCCCTTCCCATCCCCGCTTGCATGGGGCATGAGCAGGCTGGGCCACACACTGAAAACAGCAGCTCCACGTCCAAGGGTCAGTGCCAGTGATGCAAGTGACTTGAACATGGATCAGGAAGCGCAGGGCAGAAAAGCGTCAGTGGATTCTAGGGAGGATCTGTTATGATAGTGTGGATAGAGGCATCTACTAGGGGTCAGTGGGAGGGTTGGGAGGCAGGATCTGCCAGGCCACAGCATCGATCTCTACTTAAACTAAGGTGTAAGCTCTGTGTGGTGGCGCGTCGGGGTTCCCCCACCTCCTGCACCCCCATAGTGGCACGGACAGACTCCACCAGCCAGTAGAATAGAGGGAGTTTATTGCTTTTCCAGGATGCAGCACAGCACAGATGTAATCTGGTCACAGGGCCAGGCCTAGGATGCCTCAGCCCCCCTTGAGATGAGGGAGCCTGGGCCCTTAAATCCCAGCCCCCTTGCTTAGGCTGCTTCCTCCATGATTCCAGCCGGAAAACTAACTCTCTTCCAGCCCTGCCCCCCAGCCAGGTGCTGGTCTCCGGGAGGCTGAGCCTGGGTGTCTGGGTTAATACACATTTGGGAGGGTCAGTGAGAATCTCCTATCCCAGCTCAGGGGGAGCCTGGGTCACAGAGCAGACAGCACCCCCGCTACGGCACACTCTGCGAACACGTTTCATCTGCTTCTCATTTGGGTAGCCCTGGCTGGGCAGGATGCAGCTACTGAACTAGGCACTGTGGAGTTACATCCGGCTAGAGGGAGAAGGCTGCTAGTTTCCGGCCACCTGGGGAGCCCAGGTCACAGAGCAGAGAGCGCCCCCGCTACACCACACTCTGTTAGCACGTTTCATCTGCTTCTCATTTGGGCAGCCCTGGCTGGGCAGGATGCAGCTACTGAACTAGTCCCTGTAGAGCCACATGCCTCAGTCACTGTCACCTGGTTAGAGGGAGAAGGCGGCTAGTTTTCTGCCTGTTGCTACCCCAGAAACCTAATTCCGTCCCTGTCACTGCAGGAGGGCAAAGAGCCAGACCCAGTTGTCAGTGTAACGTGGATCCAGCTCGTCCTGTTTTGCTGGGTTATAACTTGCTGGCTCTGCCGTTATGGGCGTGTGTGTGTGACCCAGACACTCCCTGTCCTAGGCTGATGGGAGACTTGGCTCAGTGCCCTGCTCACTGCTGGGAAGGGAGGCTGCTGGGGGGAGGGTGTCACAAAGGCAGCCCTGCGGCAGCCCTGCAGCAGTTCTGTGTCCCCAAACCTGGCCACTCATGGGGGGGGGGGTGTTCCTGAGAGACGAGACCCTTCAGAACCAGGGGTCATGCGCAGGCAGGCTCTGACCCTGGTTCTGCCCCCCTCCTGCTGCTCCATCCCTCCCGGCACACTCCTCTGGGGTGTCTCCATGCCTCTGGGCTGCTCTTATGGGGAAGGTGGGTAGAGATGAAGCTTCTGAAACCTCCAGTGGGGCTCTTGTATGACCTCACCTGTCTCTGAAACTCAGCCGGCAGGCAGAAGCCCCGGGATCTCATCTCCATGGAGCTGGGGTCTGGCCAGCGCACAGCCGAGAGAGTGTGCATCCTACCGGGCCCATGTATGCCCGCCCTGGTTTATAGGTAACTCCAAAAACTAATTGTAAGCAACTCTCAAATGTCATTTGGTGTCACAGCATCCTCTTGACTAGAAGGAAAAAGCTCTCTCAGCCTGTCTTGCCAATGCCCATTAACCCCTAAGAAGTTGTAAGGGCTTCATATAGGATAAAGGTCAGAATGGAGGATTAGCATATTCCACCAGTGAGGTCTTAAATGTGGTGGGCTCTGGGAGAGGAGGAAGATATTTTTTCTAGTGGAAAATAAGAGATGAATTTCCATTTAAATGTTCAACATGAACATTTTAACTTTTACTTTAAAAATTTAAACCTGAAAAGTGGGGAAAACTTTTCATCTGAAAACTTCCAAACAATGAAATACTGGAGAGTGAGAGTGAAGTAGACAAGGGCTTGTGTTGCAATGGACAACTGAAAATATCCAAGGTTGTAGCCAAAATGTGGTATTTTAGTGTTTGTATAAAAATATAAGAATAATGATGGTACTAAGTGCTATATAGTGATTTGCTTTTAAGTTCTGGGTTTCACTCTGCCTCTCATGATTAGTTATGTTTGTGATATGGTCTCGTTAGCATTACAAACTAAGTTGTGCCACTTGTCTGCATTGCAAACGAAGATTCTTTTTGTCATTTCTTTAGTAACTATATAAACCTTTCTAAAATGTAGTCCTGTCTGAAACTCTCTGTAAAATTGTTTAACAGGATATTCTCTGTATATTGCTTAGTGTGAGTGGAGGATGTGTGTATATTAAAGGATAAGGGTATGTTTAGACTGCGGGGAGTTTTGGGGATACCAGAGGTATCCAGAAAAAACCCCATCGCATCCAGGGAACACATTTGCTCTTCTGTTTTTTTTCAAGGAAGAGCAGGGCTGCGTCTAGACTGGCCAGTTTTTCCGGAAAATCAGCTGCTTTTCTGGAAAAACTTGCCAGCTCTCTACGCTGGCCGCTTGAATTTCCGCAAAAGCACTGACTTCCTACTGTCTGAAATCAGTGCTTCGTGCGGAAATGCTATGCTGCTCCCATTCAGGCAAAAGTCCCTTTTACGCAAAACTTTTGCAGAAAAAGGCCAGTGTAGACAGCTCAGATTTGTTTTCCACAAAAAAGCCCCGATCGCGAAAATGGCGATTGGGGCTTTTTTGCGGAAAAGCGCTTCTAGATTGGCATGGACGCTTTTCCGCAAAAAGTGCTTTTGCGGAAAAGCGTCCATGCCAATCTAGATGCTCTTTTCCGCAAATGCTTTTAACGGAAAACTTTTCCGTTAAAAGCATTTGTGGAAAATCATGCCAGTCTAGACGCAGCCAGGGTGTTCAAAAAAATTAACTTCTCAGTTTGTTTGCCATGGTATTTTGTTGACCTGGTATGTATCTTGCTGTCAGTGTGATGTTCTTCACACACCAGTCCCAAAACTTGATTACCTCAGCACATAGTGAGCTTGATTGGACATCGCCCAGTCGGTTGATGAGAAACATACATGATGTGTTGTCCATGAAGAAAAGTATGATGCGGCCATGGAAGAGTGGGAAGAAATGTAGACAGATGTTGCAAACCACCCTGAGTTGCAGTTGATATGGAACCTAGTTTATTAGTGCAACCATCTGCCCTGGACCATCTGCTGTCCACAGTGGGCACCCCATCCTATAAGGGATGCATCCATAGTTATTATGTGTGAGGGGTCTAGACAATGAAAGGGCACTCCGGAAAGGAGAATGTGTGGACAGGTCCTCCATCGCGGTGAGGTCAGCACTAATGGCAGAGGTGCAGTTTGTATGATGAAGCTGTGCCAGTGGGGATGTAAACTGAGGCCAACCATGCCTGTAGACATCACATGTGGAGTCTTGTGAGGTGTACCATGAAAGTAATAGCCACTATGTGGCCTAGGACCAGAAGACATGTGTGGACAGTTGTGATTGGAACATAAAGTACACTGTCTATTATATCACATAGGTCTTGAAAGTGGTGTAGAGGAACAGAGGCCCTGGCCATCATAGCATCTAGTGATGCTTTGATGAATTCAGTACGCTGGAAGGGTTCCAGAGTTGATTTCTGTACATTTACAAGCAGACCCAGTTGGGCCCTAGTGATAACTCTGTGATTGGGTTATTTAGGACTTAGGGAGGCACCAGGTACAGACTGTAAGCCAAAAGGGGAGTAGCAGAACATCTTAGTAAGGAATGTCTTGTTACAAAGACTCCCTAGAAGCTATGCACATACAGATCTGGGTTCAGGACCAGGTTGAAATTGACAGGATGAGGGATAGTGAGCCCCTCTTTCATAAGGTGAAGGGTGGTAACTAGGCAACAGAAGGTGGCAACCTGATATGTAAAGAAGTGATGTAAGTTGTTTATACCTATCTATAAAAGAACACCACAAAGGGTACTTTCCGGCCAACCTTCTGAACGGCAGGTATCATTGCCTAGACTTACAGAATGCACAGTGACTTAACTCTGACTAACCACTGTTAATATCTGTTATATGGCAATAGGCCTGCTATGTGTTGGTACCTTGTCAATGTGGAACAAGTGCACAGTAGTGTAGCATTGTAGGATTTCTGCTACCAACTGTCAGAGCTTCACATTTGACAATAAACCTGCTCGATTGATTTCAAACCTTGCCTAAATCTGTTGTTTCCAGGAGCTCTTAGAGATGTCCTGTGTTGACCCAAGTGCACGGGGTCTAACACTCTAGATAAAGGGAGCACCGATAGTTACATACAGAGCCAAAAGTTTATCATCACCGACAGAGTAGAGGTCCTATCAGGAGCGTGCTGGGACCACCCCAAGAATCCTGACCAGACAACAATGAAACACCGAGGCTACGTCTACATTGGCAAGATTTTGCTCTAATACTCTAACACAAGAGTTTTTGAGTTAGAGTATTTGTGCAAGAGAGCATCGACACTAACATACCTTTGCACAAGAGATGTGCTTTTGCACAAGAGCATCCATGCCAGAGTAGACGCTCTCTTGCGCAAGAAAGCTCTGATGGCCATTTTAGCCATCGGGCTTTCTTGTGCAAGAAATTCATGTTGCCTGTCTACACTGGCCTCTTGCGCAAGAACAGTAAGAGGGCTTATTCCTGAGCGGGAGCATCATAGTTCTTGTGCAAGAAGCACTGATTGCACACATATCAACAGCTGATTATCTTGCAGGGCTCAACAACTGAATAAGCATAACCATGCCCAGGAC